ACCCCAGGTTTTGGGTCCCAAATACCCTTATCAAGGGCCAGATTCCATGGTTTAGGGGCCCAAAACCCAAGGGTACAAACCCTAAGGGTACAAAGGACCCTAAACCCTAAACCCTAAACCCTAAACCCTAATCCCTAAACCCTAAACCCTAAACCCTAATCCCCTATCGTTTGGCCAAGCTCCACAGGCGCTGCTTCCGGCAGCGCTCCGGTGCTTTGCGGCGGCACTCGCGGCCCGTGGGGCGGCTTGGGCTGAATCGGTTTAGGGGGTTTAGGGGGGTTTTGAGTTTAGGGGGTTAGGGTTTAGGGGGTTTAGGGCTTTGGGATTTTTGGGTTTCGGGGTTTTAGACTTTTGGATTTGGGGATTTAGGGCGTAGGGTTTATGCGAGATGGGCTCCCATTGAGTAATAGTGGTACAAACAGAATGTATCTACCGCGACCTTTTGTGGCCTATCAGAGGTTTAGAGTTCAGGACCTCAGGGTTTATGAGGCCTTTAAGTTAAAGGGTTATAGTCCCCTTTAAGTAGATAGAATATGGCTTTGGAAAAGATTCCCATATACCCCATATTCTATCTACTTAAAGGGGACTGTAGGGACATACAAGGCCCCAAGCCCTTGGATGATGATAGTCATGTCTATACGGGAATGTTATGAGTGTACGCAGGGGATCCAACCTAACGTAGGCAATGCACGGGCCTATTGGAATAGAACAGTGGAGAACCAATTGGAATAGTGCATGGGCATGAACGGGAAATTAGGCTTCTTTACTCCCGTCAGTAATCCTTCGAGTTATCCAAGCCAGGTGGACGAGACCACGGTGGTCTTACGTTGGAGAGACCGCGCCGCTCAGCTAAACCTTAAAGTTGATAGGCCCCAAGAAAGGTTTAGGGTTTAGGGAAAATGGTTTGCCACAGTTAAGCAACAACTTTCAAGTGCTTTCAGCTTCTGACTTCTTGCCCGAGCAGAGCTCGGTGGGAGGTTTCCAGGCGGATATCCACGAAGCCTGCTGCAAAAGGGAAAATGGCTTAGGCATTAGGGCTTCCTAGAGTTTATGCTTTAGAGTTTAGGGTGCGCATTGGTGCCGGGGTCAAGGTTCTTTCCCCAAAAATGAGGGGCCCCTGTGATAGCCTTAGGCCGAGGACTTGAGTTTTTTTTTCCATCTCTCTGTGAGCAAACTGTACAGATGATACTTCCACAATCTCCCAGCAAATAATGAGAGGATTTTGGGAACCCCAACCCTTATAGTCAGGCCTTTCTACGAGTCATATGATAGTCATACAGGGTTCCTATTTTGACAGACGGGGTAGCCCAGATCCCCTTTATAGTGATCGCTGTACTCCTTCCCACCCCTCGCAGCCCGACAGGACGGCCAGCAGTTCACAATCCACAGTCAGGGCGACCTCGATAAGGCCATAAAGGCCCCATGCCGACCACAAGTGTTCTAAAAGGTTAAGCTGGATCTGCTTCATGCACTTCTCGAAGCTATGTGGTCCGCTTTGTTTCTCCCAAGATTTCGGATATGGCTTTCGGGATTTGAAGTGCAACCCTGAGTTTAAGGAATGCCCGTTCAACGCTTTCGAATGTGAGGATTCTTTTGGTGGACCGCCCACCCTGTAATAGTGGTATAATAGGGATATAAGAGGACCCTAGCTTAATCACTAGTATCCCTTCTAGTCACTATTACTGGGTGTGGGGTCAACCTAAAGGACGGTGTATCGCCATTCTTCCCGCCGCCTAGGTTTTACCATGCCCAGGATCACTGTAGTTGTCACCAAGCGTAATTCCATCCCCTTGTTTTGAAACAAAAACGCCCGCAGTAACATCAAATATTTCTTATACAGTATTGGATACTGGGGCCACTTAGGGCTTAGATATGGGGCTTAGAATCTAGGGTTTGGATTGTAAGATTCAGCTTTTTTCTATGGTTGTGGCTTCCTAATACCCTCCTAGATTCCCCTAGGCCCCAAGAGGTTTCCCTGATGAGGGCACATATTAACCCAGACCAATGTATCCCTTTAACTGGGTTCAGGGTTTACAATACCGGGGCTTTTAGTGACCCCAGCCCCCAAAATTAGGCGTTATGTGATATTCATGTATAGGGTCATGATTATAGTGGTTAAGCCCTTCATCCCTACACACCCATATATGAGCTATAGTCTAAACTCCTTAAGGGGGGTTATATAGGGGATCATATAGGGAACTACTATAGGGGTTATTAAGGGGGATACTAGGAGTTTAGACAGTAGCTCATATAATCCCAGATTCCGTGTCATGACACTTCATGCGAGCAAGCATTGAACTTGTCTGCAGCTTTGCGGTTTATGCAGCAGGGGCCCCTAGTTGTAGGAGCAGGTGCAGGAGGGTTAGGTTCTCTTTTGGCTAGTGCGGCTTGGCACGCGCTAACTGCTGAAGTACCTGTGCCTCCGGAGGTGAGGCTACCACCTTTACCTGTCCACGAGGCCTCCATTGACTTCTATTATGGGGTCGCTGTGGGTACCCTGCTGGGGCTTTTGCTGGCTACGGTCCTGGACCTGCTGCACTTATATCGGCAACACCTGGTGATTACCATCAGGAACCGCTGGGCTTCCTTGAGTTTGAGCCGCACTCGTGCATGAACCAGGGCTCGATCTACGGCACCGGCTTCTACCTCAGCTGGTTCTCCTGGAGGCTTGGCGCAGCCTGTGATCAAACGCTCGGTGGAACTGAGCGACCTTCGGCGCGAGGCGGCCGAAAGCACTGGGAAATTCTTTGATCGGTGCCTGAAAGGACTTCCTCGGGGTCTCTCTGGGCGTGAACGGGTTGAGCTGGCAAGCAGGGTCTACATCTTGGTCCGTGACTTCGAGGATCGCGTGTACAACCCTGTCAAGGTCTTCCATCGCTGGAACGATCTCAAGCCCTTGTGGCCAGGCCGGGCAACCAGCTTGGCGATTCCATCTTTGCGGGTTTCCCGACCATTCAGGAGGCTCAGATTGCTGTGGCTGCTGCTGGCTTAGGCTGGCCGCAGGATGCCTGAAGGAGGCAGTGGAGAGGCGGAGCTCGAGCCTGCAGGCCTGGCTGAGCTCTTTGTCTTGCAACGCGAAGGCCTGGACTTTAATTATCCTCTTGTGTTGGCCCGCCGTCGGGTTGAAGAAGGGGATGCTGATTGGATTGCAGGGATTTTGATTGGCGAGTCTGACAGTGGAGCTGTTATCGCTGCTTTCCCTGGGGCTGCTTGGAACAGGCAAGCAAACCGCAGGCGTCTGCCGACAGGCGCTGTCCAGTACCCAAAGAGCTACCAGGTTGCCGTGGTTGGGCCCGAGAACCGTGAGGAGAAAATTGAGGACGTCACCGCAAAGGTGTGGATATTCAAGCTTTCTCCTGATTGGCCTCTCTTCCTTGAACTCCGTGCTGCTGGGGATTCCGAAATCGAGGTGGCCATTCCTTTTGGCAAAGATCTTGGCGAGGGCTTGGAGGATTGTGTTCCCTTCGCCCCTGACTTGCAGACTGTTGCCGAGGACCGCTACGCCTTCCAGAGTGCTGTCGAAGCTGAGCCGCGGCCTCCTGAGCCAGCAGCTGGAGGTTAAAATCTTTCTGCCAGGGTCGCTAGCTTGGAGTCATGCTTGGGGGCAGTCAAGGCAAGTCTAGACGACATCGCTTCGAGGCTCCCAGCTCTAGCCGATCGACTTCCTGGACAAGAACCGGAGGTCGCAACACCAAGGAGGCAGTCTGCCTTGAGACCGCCAAAGAGGGGGGCCACAGCCGAACCAAAGCCGCCTCTGGAAGGTCTGGATCCTGCTGTAGTGCAAGCCGCTCGGACTGCTGGAGTTCCGGAGGACCACTTGAAGGAGATGGCGGCCACGGTGGGAGCAAACCGGCCAAAGCTCTCAGAGAGGAGCCGGGATGTGCGGCCCCCCGTCTTGCCAAAGCGCGACCCGAATCTGGACGAGACCGATCTCGAGGACGAGGACGAGCCCGAGCCGGCGACTTCAGGGTCAGACCAGCTAGCCGTCGCCATCGCCAAGCTCACCAGCATAGCGGCCGACGCGAAGAACCGAAACAAGGCGGACACCCTGGAGAGCATTCTCGACGGTTCTGGGTCAGCAGACGCTTCCAGCACTTCGGGAACTTGCAGGAAGAACGTTGCGATCATGAGGGCTCTGAGGGCAGCTCTGCAGGACAAGCCCAAGGAGCTGGCAGACGGCATCCTCGCTCGTGTGGCCGAAGATTATGGGTGGCGGCGAGCTTTGCCTGGAGGAGACCGAATTCCCGTGACGGCCCGAGCGTGGGTCCACGGTCAAGTTTGCGTGGATACTTGGGGGCATCATCGACAGCCTGCAGGCGCAGAAACCGGACGAGGCTTTGGCAAGGTCCCTTGTGGGGCTAGCTGCCGTCGAGCAGCTGTCTCTAGATCGAGGCAGCTGGACGCTAGCCGAGCCAATGCTTCTCGAAGAACCGGCTCCGATGGCAAGCTTTTCGGGGCGTCAACTTCCGACGGGCTCCGAACTTCCCTTTACCAGGCTCTTCGACAGCCGGGCTGTGGACGCGTTGGTGAGCCAAGTCAAGGACATCGACGACTACCTGGAGCGGCGCCGAAAACTTGGAAAGAGGAATTCGAGCTCGACAATTCAAGCCGAGGAAGAGGGCGAAGAAGGCGAGAAGCAGAAGCCCCAAGGAGGGAAAGGAAAGGGAAAGGCAAAGGCAAAGGCCTCCGCCGAGAAGAGCGAGAAAGCGTGAATGGGAGAAGTGGCCGATTTGGTCCTTCTTCCTCCGGGCCGCCTTTGATTGGCCCTCAATCTTCTAGTGCCGGCAACCGTGCCGTGCGAGTGCCAACCGCTGGGGCTAGCACAGTGAAAGCTTCAGTGCTCTGGCTTGGAGAGGCCACCCCTTTTGCAAAATTTTTCCGTGGCTGTGTCTCGAAAGCGCCTTTGCAGGATGCTCCTGCAACCGCCTCTGCCTTTCCGATGCCGGTGCCGTACCCCCAGCTTTACAAGAGGAGATCTGGTGGGCGGGCCTCCTGGGAAAGCCCTTCTACTCTTTCAGGAGAACAGCGGGGGGTAGCCCGCAGGCTTGAGGTCCTCCGCCATCCAGCGGTCGACTTTGGTGACATGGGTCGTTCTGCAGCCCGCGTGGAGACACTGGAACAGGCCCTTGATCGCCTGTCAGAAATTGCGGCCAGGTTTGGGGCTCTCCGCGACAGCTATGGGAAAACCTCTGCCAGCTCCGATGGCTGCCGACCTGGAAGCTCTTTGCCCGGTTCTTCTTGGTCAGAGCGCCCTTAAGTGGGACTGCTGTATTGGGTCGGGAGCAACCGGGGACGTGGCCTGAAGAAGCTGAGGTATACGTGGGCGGCCCAGACGCTGAATTTCTGCAGGGCCTTTTCCTTTCGGGCGAGAGCGAGATCGTTGCCAAAGATTTGGAGGCAAGCCGGCTGAAAATGACAGGTCGGCCAAGCTTTGACCCAACTCCCTTTTTGGATACAGAAGCAGCAGCTCACTACCAGAATCCCTTCGATTTCATGCTGGACCCGACTGAGGTGCAGGACAAGCTTCCTCGACCTAGTTTCAGGGCCAGCCGCGCTGAAAAGCAGAAGGTGCTTCAATTGCTTGATCGCACAGGCAGGTTGACTTTTCATCCAGCAGGCGAAGTTCATCCGGCCTTCACAAACGGCCTCTTTGGCCTGGTGAAAAACCAAGAAAAAGACCGCCTGATCCTAGACGCCCGCTGTCAAAATCTGCGAGAAACTTCTACAGGAGCATGGATCCGCAGCATGGCTTCTTTCACTTCGCTGCTCAACATCCAGCTTCTGCCCGGAGAGCGGTTGGTCTTTGGGGGCGAGGATCTCAAAGACTTCTACTACTTCTTCGAGGTCTCTCGGGCTCGGTCTTTGAGAAACGTGTTGACTGGGCCGTTCCCGGAAAGAGTGGCTCGCCAGTTTACTGGATTCGAAGGGGTTGCTCCTGGGCACGATCGCTACTTTGCAGCGCTAAACACTTTAGCGATGGGGGATCGTAACGCGGTCTGTTACGGACAAACTTCGCACGTGGCTCTCCTCTTGAAGACTGGCTGCTTATCGACTTCTGAGCTATACTCAGCCTCGACAACAGGCCTTGCCGAGGAAACTTCCTGGCGGGCATCTGTATCGACGACTTCGTGACCCTTGAGAAGACTCCAGCTCGCAGACCGACAACCAACGCAAAGAGCGAGGGCCAGAAGGAACGTAGTAGTCGGGAGGATGTGACCATCGAGAAGACAGCAGCTCGCAAACCGGCAAAGAGCGAGGGCGATCCTGAGTCTGGCGCCGACCGCAGTTCAGCTTTGCTCAGTGCCATCCGCGAGCTTTATCAGAGAGTTGGCCTCGAGCGTAACCCTGAGAAAGCTTTTCAAGGAGAGGAGGTCGCTACTTTCTGGGGAGCTCGCATAGACGGGAACACCGGTGATGTTCGAGCTTTGCCTTCACGAACTTTGCCCCTGATCTCTCTGACTTTGGATCTGGTGCGCGTCGGCTTTGCAACTCGCGGTCTACTGGAGGTGATTGCTGGCTGCTACGTTTCGGTTTTCTCCTTCCGGAGGGGCTGCTTTCCTGTATGGAACAAATTTACAGTGAGGGCCGAGACTTGCCGCGGCGCCAGGTGTTTGCAATGAGTGATGCTTTGAAAGACGAGCTGCTCTCTTGCGCCCTCCTTGCGCCCGTGGCGGCTACGAACTTGAGAACTCGGCCTTCGCCTTGGCTGTTGGCGACTGATGCATCCTTGGACTGGCAAGCGGAAGTGCGAAGCTGGATCGGAGCCGCTTTCGGGCAGGAGCTGGGCCGACACTGCCTTGTCAAGCCTGTCTGGAGTAACTTCTTCGACCTGCTGAGGCTTTACAACGTGCCGCTGGACTCTTGAGCCCCGAGGACGAGTTGCCCGACGGAGCTTTCGCTTGCCATCCCCTTTGGTCAGAGTTGGCTAGAGCCGAAGCCCGCCACGCAAGAACAAGCCCTTGCAGCCGGGCAAACTTGGCCTTGGACAGCCAGGTTGCGCTAGGTGCGCTTCTGAAGGGACGTTCGAGTAGCATATCCCTCAACAAGGAGCTCCGGAAAAGCTTGCCGAATCACTTGGGTTTTGGATCGTTGCTGAACCTCTTCTACTTTCCAAGCGAGCTGAATGCAGCCGATGACCCTGCAAGATATCGGCCAGTGAGGAGACCTTCGGCTCCGCTACCAACGTGGCTGTCCTCTGCCCTGGATGGAGACTTCGATGAGTCCGACGCTTGGCTGGCAAAGAAGAACTCCTTGCCCGAAGATGCCGTCGGCTTGCCCCCAGCTTCTGACCTGGTCAAAGTCGACTACAGTCCAAAGCAGCGCAAACCTCAACGAGCTCTCTGGCTACGCCAAGTCCGGACTGGTCGCGGGCCGCCGAAGCCGGAGCCTTTGCCAAGGTCACCGAGTTCTTCTGCAGACATTCACCCAGCGCTGGGTGCTGACATTCGAGCTGCGGCGTTCTGCCGATGAAAACCTGTTGCACAAGCCGCTGCAGCAGCGCATCATCGAACTCATTCGAAGACGGGCCTTCCATGCTATAGGTGGGGGCCTCATCTGCTCCTCGATGAGCCGTGCAGTGAGACCAGCAGTTCGTTCCGCTCAGTATCCAGAGGGCATGCCAGATTGCCGTGAAACGATGCGTCTCAAAGTGGCGCAGGGCAATGAGCACTCGACCTTCATGGCTTCGTGTGTGACTGCAGCTGTTGAAGCCGGCTGCGATCATTGGACCGAGAACCCCCACACTTCATTTCTCTGGAAACAGCCACCGTGGGAGGCTCTGCTTGAAACAGGATCTGCCACAGCGGGGAGGCTCCACGACTCCTTTGTCACTGACTATTGCCGATTCGGGACTAAGTGGTTAAAACGGACGAAAATCTACTCGTCTCTCGGCTTCAAAGGACAGAAGTTGTTGTGTCGTTGCAAGGGTCCTCACCAGAGGCTCTCGGGGTTTAGCAGGGCTTTCGGCATGATGTGGACCAAAGCTGCTGAAAGCTATCCCAGGCAACTTAATCACTTAATTGCCCGGGCTTTAGCCGAGACCCTGAAGCCTGTACGGGACAGACATGCTGTGGATGCTTCCGCTATCTGCCGCAGTTCGACCTGCCGCATTGGCGAAGCTAAAAATCCTGGACCTGCCGTCGGAGACTTGGAGGAAGTTGCCTTGGTGGGTGAGCGCACCCGTGTACTGCAGAGTCGGCTCCTTGAAGAGTTCTTTGCTTGGTTGCGCGCCGGCCTCAGCCCTCCTGCACTAGCTAGTGTAGAGACTTGCGCCATGGTCTTTTGCTGCCTGCTTCGGAGCTATGGCAACCATTTGTTTTCTTCTGGCCAACCGCTGTACAAGTGGCGCCACTTGTGTGCCTACTACCAGAAGAACAAACTGCTGCTACGGCCTTACATGCCGCTGTGCTGGGACTTGGTGACACGTTGGGAGCGTGTGCAGCCGACACGACATCGAGAACCAGTCCCTTGGGCTTTGATCAGAGCCATATTGGCGCTGGCTGGAACTGGGTTCGCTTTGCTGTTGTGGCCGGACTGGCCTTTTACGGAGCTGCTCGAATTGGCGAGCCTTTGCGAGCTGTTCGAGCCCACGTTCTGCTGCCATCTGACGTATTAGACGAGAGCCTGCAAGCCTGCTACGTTCGAGTCGAGAACCCGAAAAGCCGGCACCGTGGCACTGGCCGCGTACAGCATTTTGTGGTCAGAGACCTGGTTTTTGTTCGCTTCCTCGAGCAGGCCCTTCAAGAAGACTCGCCTGAAACTCCGCTGTTCCCTGCAAGCCCTGCCACCTTCCGGCGGCGCTGGGACACTTCTGCAGAGCTTGGGAGTCCCTCGTTCGGCGAAGCTGACGCCTGGAGGCCTGAGAGGAGGTGGATGCGTGCACCTCTACAACCAAGGAACTTCTATCCCTAACCTCATGTGGCAAATGCGCATCAAGCAGCAAGTGACGCTCGAAAGTTACTTGCAAGAGCTAGCAGCCCTGTGCGCCTTGCCAGCTTTGACTCCAGATGCCAGGGCGAAGATTGAAGCTGCTTCATCTTTGTATCCTTTTCTTGTGCAAGCTTTCCGAGCGTAGCAGTTTTGCAGCACCAACGCTAGCCTAGCTGTTGTGGCCGCCTGAAGAAGTGGAAGAGCTCTCAACTGAGTGCTTTCTAAGTACTCCTTTTAGAGGCTGCATGGCTTGCGACCCTTTGGGATTGCCATGCTTTCGGCCAAGGAGCTACAGAGACACTTCTCGGCGTGAGCCAGCCCGGAACAGACTGAGGGAAGTGCGCGCTTGCATGACACTTCATGCGAGCAAGCATTGAACTTGTCTGCAGCTTTGCGGTTCCCACCCCCCCTCCCCGGGGAAGATCTCTCAACTGAGTGCTTTCTAAGTACTCCTTTTAGAGGCTGCATGGCTTGCGACCCCTTTGGGATTGCCATGCTTTCGGCCAAGGAGCTACAGAGACACTTCTCGGCGTGAGCCAGCCCGGAAAAGACTGAGGGAAGTGCGCGCTTGCATGCTCCATTCTCTTGTCCATTCGAGTCTTTCTTACGGGGAGAATATCCTCAAAATCCCCTTTTTCAGCCCTATACCCTGAACCCTAACCCTAAGATCTGCTTATCCAAGGAGCTCCCTGGGGTCTCCGCGCGGTCTAGTTTATACTTTA